TGCCAAGCATATACACCACCACCACGCTCCCCCTTCCTCCAGCCTCTTCTGCTTCTCCTCCTCCCCTGCAGAGGGTAGGGGTGAGGGAGGTGACGGTGGTGTATCTATTTTTTTGGCCCCGCGTGAGCGGGCCGAGTGGGCCTGCCCCAGTCGATGCAGCTGCCGGGACTCCTGCGGACCCAGAGTTTGGACGCTCGCCACGGCGATCTTGAAGTTCTCGGTGCTCGTCCGGCCAGTTCGCCGGCGATCGTAACGCCACCGCTCGCGATTCAGCCGGCGTCGTGGTCGTTGTGCTCTCGTTCAGTTGCCGCTGATTCGGAGCGGAGCGGGCCAGTGCTCGGGGGTGCGCTCCCCTCGCGAGGGGCTGGCCTGGGCGACCGCCCCCTCGGGGTCGGGTGCGGCTGGCTGTCCCCCGAGGCCCGATATGGTCTGCTTGCCTTGCAGCCGCCACGGGGGGGCGGTGTCCAAAGACCGTCCTTTCTGAGGACGGGCGGCCCTCTGTAGCCTCGAAGCGCTTGATGAGAAGGTCGCTTTGCTTGGTGGCCTCCTCGGGAACGCATGCGTCCACGCCGTCGCGCTGCTGGAGCTGGCGGATGGCCGCTTGCATGGATTCGCAGTCCGTGTCCTTGTCCTTTGCCGTGGACACCAAGGCCTTGACGTCGGCCAGCTCCATCGTCAACTGCTCACTTCTTTCTCCGCCACGGAGACGTCCTTGGCGGCCAGGGGTCAGCGCATCCTTGCACCAATCGTACCTCTGGCCGAGGGACTTGTCCGCGCGAATGATTTTGCGGTGCTCTAGTATCTGCTGCTGGATCCCCTGCTTGACGGTGTCGTGCTCGGTGCCCACTAGCGCGGCCGCTGCTGCCTCCAGCCAGGAGATCATGAGATGCCTCTGCGCCGTGGTGAGGTCCGTGGCGGAACTCGAGGCCCCCGACGGCGTCATGGCCTCGGGGGGACTGCGGACTCTCGGGCGCTGCCTGTAGCGTCGCTGCCACAGTCTGAAATTGCGCTGTAACGCCGCCAGGCCCCTGCGGGGGGGCAGCAGTCGTCGTCGACGAACTCCGACTGAAGTTTTTCCCAACCATCCTGTGGTGTTGGGTCCTCGCTTTGAAGAGACAGCGCCCCGCGTTCCTTCCTTCTTTCCCGCTGCCCCCTCCCTCCTCCCCCTCCTCCCTCCTCCCACCCGCCTCGTCATCGTCATCGTCATCGTCATCGTCATCGTCATCGTCATCGTCATCGTCATCGTCATCGTCATCGTCATCGTCATCGTCATCGTCATCGTCATCGTCATCGTCATCATCGTCATCATCATCGCCATCGTCATGATCCACATCATCATGATCATCACCATCGCCATCGTCAGCGCCGCGCCCCTCACACGGTTCGCGCCACCACAGGGAGCTCCACCGAAGGCCAAAGTGGCAGCGGTTGCATGCGTCAGTGCCGCCCCATTTTGGCACATCCCTCACACGTTTCGTGGCCCCATAGGGAGTTCCACCGAAGGCCCCAGCAGGAGCGTCCGCATGGCACCGCCGCCTCATTTTGGCACACCCCTCACACGGTTCATGGCCCCATAAGGAGCTCCACCGAAGGCCCCAGCGGGAGCGTCCGTCTAGCACCGCCGCCCCATTCTGGCACACCCCTCACACTGTTCGTGGCCCCGTAGGGAGCTCCACCGAAGGCCCCAGCGGGAGCGTCCGCATGGCACCGCCGCCTCATTTTGGCACACCCCTTACACGGTTCGTGGCCCCATAGGGAGCTCCACCGAAGGCCCCAGCGGGAGCGTCCGCATGGCACCGCCGCCTCATTTTGGCACGCCCCTCACACGGGTCGTGGCCTCATAGGGAGCTCTACCGAAGGCCCCAGCGGGAGCTTCCGCATGGCACCGTCGCCTCATTTCGGCACATCCCTCACACGGTTTCGTTGCCCCTATAGGAAGCTCCACCGAAGGCGCCACTGGGGCCGTCCGCATGGCACCGCTGCCCCCTTTCGGCGCACCCCTCACACGGTTCGTGGCCCCATACGGAATTCCACCGAAGGCCCCAGCGGGACCGTCCGCATGGCACGGGCCGCGCACGGGGCTCGGGCGAAACCAATCAGATTCGTCGCTCGCCCGCGTCAGCTTTTCTCCCCCTCATGCACGCCGCAGTCCTTTTTGCTGCCCCTCTTCCTTCGTCTCCTCTCCCTCGCGGTACTCGCAGCAGCATATGGTTGGGTCCTTCGTCAGTCTAATTTTTCGCCCCACAGTTGGAGCACTTGGTCTTGGGCGTCCAGCGCTGTATACCGCAGATCCTGCAGTTCCATGGCTTGACACCCCACGAGGCTGCACCTCCGCTCAAGATCTGGCCGTTCCTTGTCCAATCTGCTTGCTGCACCCAGCCTTGGCTGCGCCACTGATTCTGATCTCAAGTCATCCTGGTGCTGGTAGGAATCGGCCGGTAGGCCAAGAGCAGCGCTGATGCCCAAGCTCAGCACCGAGAGGGCGAGGTACATGAACGACTCGCAGGTCGAGTTATGGAAATATGCGTTTGCGCTCGTGAGTCGGGTGTAGACTGAGGTTGGCTCTGCCACAGCTTGCTTGGCTGCAGCTTGAGCCAACATGGCTACGGTGATGCTGACTCTGCTACTGCTGCTGCTGCTGCTGCTGCTGCTGCTTATGATGATGATGCTGATGCTGATGCTAATAATAATGACAATGATGCTTATGCTGATGCTGACTATAAGGATGATGATTTTGATGATGGTGATGATGCTGATGAGGATGATGCTGCTGATGCTGCTGCTGCAGCTGATGATGATGATGCTGATGATGATGAGGATGATTAGGTTAACGATGCTGCTGATGATGATACTGATGATGCTGCTGATGTTGATGATGGCGATGCTGCTGCTGCTTCTGCTGTTGCATGCGATGCTGTTGCTGACAACGAGGTTGATGATGACAATGGTGATGCTGGTCATGATGATGCGGCTGCTGCTGCTGCTGCTGATGATGATGATGATGATGATGCTGCTGATGATGATGATGATGATGTCGATGATGATGATGCTCATGGTGACGATGATTCAGATTATGCTTTTGTTTTTGTATGATTGTGGCGCTGCAGATGGTGTCGAGGATGACGAGGGCGATAACGATTACGATGACGATAATGATGATGCTGCTGCTGATGCTGATGATGCTGATGATGATGATGCTGATGATGCTGATGATGATGATGCTGATGGTGATGATGATGATGATGAGGCTGATGTTGATGCTGCTGCTGCTGATGATGCTGCTGATGATGATCATAATGACGACGATGATGCTGATGCTGCTGATGATGATGCTGCTGCTGATGATGATGATGACGATGGGGATGATGGGGATGATGACGATGATGATGCTGATGATGATGATGCTGATGATTATGATGCTGATGGTGATGATGATGATGATGATGATGCTGATGATGATGATGATGATGATGAGGCTGATGTTGATGCTGATACTGATGCTGCTGATGATGATGCTGCTGATGATGATCATAATGACGACGATAATGCTGATGCTGCTGATGATGATGCTGATGCTGATGATGATGATGACGATGGGGATGATGGGGATGATGACGATGATGATGCTGATGATGATGGGGATGATAATGATGATGATGATGATGATGATGATGATGATGATGCTGCTGGTGGTGGTGGTGGTGGTGGTGGCGATGCTGCTTGTGATGGTGATGGTGATGGTGATGACGACGACGACGACGATGATGATATAGCTGAGGATGATGCTGATGATGATGATGATGCTGATGTCGATGATGATGGTGATGGTGATGGTGATGATGGCGGTGCTGATGCTGCTGATGATGCTGCTGCTGCTGCTGATGATGATGCTGATGCTGATGCTGATGCTGATGCTGATGCTGATGCTGATGATGATGACGATGGTGATGATGATGCTGATGCTGATGCTGCTGATGATGATGCTGATGCTGATGGTGATGATGCTGATGCTGATTCTGATGATGCTGATGCTGATGATGATGATGCTGATGATGCTGATGCTGATGCTGATGCTGATGATGATGATGATGCTGATGATGATGATGTTGATGATGAGACTGAGGCTGATGATGATGATGATGATGATGGTGATGATGCTGATGATGATGATGATGGTGGTGGTGGTCATGAGGTTGCTGGTGCTGGTGATGGTGATGGTGATGACGAAGACGATGATGATGCTTCTGATGATGATGATGCTGATGATGGTGATGGTGACGGTGATGGTGATGGTGATGCTGCTGTTGACGATGGCGATGCTGCTGCTGATGATGATGATGATGATGATGATGATGATGATGATGATGATGATGATGATGATGACGGTGCTTATGCTGATGCTGATGCTGATGCTGCTTCTGATGATGGTGATGATGATGATGGTGATGATGGTGGTGGTGATGATGATGGTGGTGCCGATGACGACGATGGTCATGGTGATTGAGACGACAGTGCTGCTGAGGACGTCGGCAATGACGACTTTTGCGATCGTGCTGGCGACGGTGCTGAGAAAGATCGCGAGAACGTGTGTTCGCAGAGCAGCTGACACAGTTTTTGGAGCTGTTCGCATTTGTTTGATCACATCGACCTTGAGATGCTTCGACCACCTATGGCTTTGCATCGATCTCGACATGCGCGCGCGCGGGGAAGCGTGCGTGTGGCCCGAACGGTTTTATTTCGCAGAGCTGTCGGGTGCCCGACGATTGTTGACGTTAGGGGTGGGTGGGTGGGTGGGTGGGACAGGCTCAGGGGCGGATGCATCGACCCCGAATCGCCAACTGATCGCCGATATGGAGCCCGATAGCCCACCCCACCCAGGGACGTGCGCTCTCGCTATCGGGGGCCTCTCGCCGATGTATCAGCGATCCCAGGTCGATGCTCCCCCCCCCCCCCCCTCCTGAACCGCTCCCCTCCTGACGTTCCCCCTCAGCCATTCGCAGGATTCTGGCCCTCGTGGGCCAACTTCATCTTCTGCTACTTCTCGGACCCGCTGCCCCTAGAGGCCGAGCTGCGCTCGCGGGGCATCCTTGTGCGCCCAAAGAAGGACCCCATGTCAGAGAGCAAAATGAAGAGGATGCTGCTGCGGATGATGATGATGATGATGATGCTGATGATGATGCTGCTGCTGATGCTGATGATGATGATGCTGCTGATGATGATGATGATGATGATGACGATGATGATGATGATGATGATGATGATGATGATGATGATGATGATGATGATGATGATGATGATGATGATGATGATGAGGATGATGAGGATGATGAGGAGGAGGAGGAGGAGGAGGAGGAGGGAGAAGAGGAGGAGGAGGAGGAGGAAGAGAAGTATGATGAGGAGGAAGGAGGAGGACGATGAGGAGAGGAGCAGCAGGAGGAGGAGGAGGAGGAGGAGGAGGAGGAGGAGGAGGAGGAGGGGATGAGGAGGAGGAGGAGGACGAGGAGGAGGATGAGGAGGAGGAGGAGGAGGAGGAGGGGGAGGAGGAGCAGGAGGAGGAGGAGGAGGACGGGGTAGGAGGAGGAGGAGGAGGAGGAGGAGGAGGAGGAGGAGGGAGGAGGAGGAGGAGGAGGAGAGGAGGAGGAGGAGGAGGAGGAGGAGGAGGGAGGAGGAGGAGGAGGAGGAGGAGGAGGAGGAGGAGGGGAGGAGGAGGAGGAGGGGGGGGGGGGAGGAGGAGGAGGAGAGGAGGAGGAGGGAGGAGGAGGAGGAGGAGGAGGAGGAGAGAGGAGGAGGGGAGGAGGAGGAGGAGGAGGAGGAGGAGAGAGGAGGAGGAGGAGGAGGAGGAGGAGGAGGAGAGGAGCAGGAGCAGGAGCAGGAGCAGGAGGAAGAGGAGGAGGAGGAGGAGGGGAGAGGAGGAGGAGGAGGAGAGGAGGAGGAGGAGGAGGAGGAGGAGGAGTGGGATGAGCAGGAGCAGGAGCAGGAGCAGGAGGAGCAGGAGGAGCAGGAGGAGGAGGAGGAGGAGGAGCATGAGGAGGATGAGGAGGACCAGGGGGAGGAAGAGGAGGAGGAGGAGGAGGAGGAGGAGGAGGAGGAGGATGAGGATGAGGATTTAAGACTTCGGAATGATGTTGAATTGCACTCTCCTTCGAAGCTTCCTTTCCACAGGTCCCTACACGTCTTCATTTCCGCTGAGGGAATTGTCCCGTTGGGGGACGGTCGTGTAAGAAACCTGAAGCGTGCCAAACACCATTCTCAGGAATCCAACGCCGCGAGTTAACCTGACTGTTACGTCTTGGCGGTCCAGAATTGTGCCAGAACACCAGTCCTGGGACTCCAACACCGCGAATTCACATCACTGTTGCGCCCTGGCAATCGTGAGTCGTTGCAGATTTCCGTTTCTGGTACATGAACGATGCGAAACAGGGAAAGCCTTACAAATGTTTCGAACGAATGTGCGTGGCGCTACGGCGAGGGCCACATTTCCAAAACGGCCCGCCCTCAAAGCTGTGAAACTTTTGCATTTTTTGCAGCGAGTGTGCGCGGTGTCAAATGGGAGAGTCACCTTTTGAAAACGAGAAAACCACCCGCCCTCCATCTGTAAGAGCAGGAGCAGGAAAAGGAGGCGGAGGAGGAGGAGGAGGAGGAGGTGGAAGAGGAGAAGGAGAAGGAGGACGAGGACGAGGACGAGGACAAGGAGGAGGAGGAAGAGGAGGCGGAGGGGGAGCAGGAGGAGTATGAGTATGACTATGAGTGTGACTATGATTAGGATTCTGAGTATGAGTATGAATACGAGTACGAACATGATAATGAGTATGAGTATCGGTATGGGTATGATCATGAGTATGCGTATGAACATGAGTATGAGTACGAGTAGGCTTATGAGTATGAGTATGAGTATGCTTACGAGCATGAGTGTGAGGAGGAGGATGAGGATGAGGCGAGTGAGGAGAAGGAAGGACCGATGGTGCGGGGAGGATAGTGACGAGGCCTTGAGCCATGCAGAGGATTATGATGATGACGATGCTGAGGATGATGATGAAGATGATGATGATGATGATGATGATGATGATGATGATGATGATGATGATGATGATGATGATGATGATGATGATGATGATGCCGCGGCAACTGCTGAAGATGATGTTGTTGACGAGAGTGTCGCTGATGGGGATGCTGGTTCTGCTGCCGCTGCCGCTGATGATTTTGCGGATGATACTGATTATGCTGATAATGGTTATTATGATGACGATGCTGATGTTGATGATGGTGATGAGAGTGCTGCTGATGATGCTGCTGCTGTTGATTATGCTATCGATGCCGATTGTGCTGGTGATGATGAAGATGCTGCTGCCGTGGATGACGAGGATGACAATGCTGCTGATAACGATGCTGCTGCTGATGATAAGGATGCTGCTGATGATGATGACGATGCTGATGCTGCTGCTGAGGATGATGATGATGCTGATGCTGATGATGATGCTGATGCTGATGATGATGATGATGATGATGCTGCTGATGATGATGATGATGATGATGATGATGATGATGATGATGGTGATGGTGATGGTGATGGTGATGCTGCTGCTGATGATGATGCTGCTGCTGATGATGATGCTGCTGATGATGATGATGATGATGATGATGATGATGATGATGATGATGATGATGATGCCGATTATGTTGTTGTCGATGGTGATGACTACGATGAGAAAGAGCGTGTTCTGTGGTCGCTTGAAAGGGGGGGTGGAACCGGACCCCCCCCCCTGGATGGAGGGGGGGGAGGGTTCGAACCCCACCCCCCCCTCCCGTGACGGGGAGGGAGGGTTCGAACCCCCCCCCCGCCCACCCCCCCTCCCTCTCCTCTCTCCTCGGGCCGGCGCCTGCGTCGGCGGCGGCTGGCGACGGCGGCGGCGGCGGGGACAACGATTTCCTTTTCTGGGCCGGCGCCTGCGCCTGAGGCGGCGGGCGGCGGCGGCGGGGAGCGTCGACGAGGACGGCGGGGGTGTTGGTGGTGGTTTGTGGTGGTGGTTGTGGTGGTGGCGGTGGTGGTGGTTGTGGTGGCGGTGGTGTGGTGGTTTGTTGTGGTGGTGGTGGCTGTGGTGGTGGGTGGTTTTGGTGGTGTTGGTGGTGGTGGTTTGGTGGTGGTGTGGTGGTGGTTTGTGGTGGTGGTGGTGGTTTGTGGTGGTGGTGGTGGTGGTGGTTTGGTGGTTTGGTGGTGGTGGTTTGTGGTGGTGGTGGGTTGTTGTGGTGGCGGTGGTTTGTGAAGGTGGTGCTGGTGGTGTTGGTGGTGGCGGTGGTGGTGGTGGTGGTGGTGGTGTGGTGGTTTGCGGTGGTGGTGGTGGGTTGTGCTGTTGGTAGTGGTGGTGGTTGTGGCGGTGGTGGTTTTTGGTGTGGTAGATTGTGGTGGTGGTGGTAGTGGTGGTGGGTTTTTGTTGTGGTGGTGGTGGTGAGTTGTGGTGGTGGTGGTGGTTGTGGTGGTGGTGGTGGTGGCTGTGGTGGTGGTGGTGGTGGTGGTTGTGTGGTTGGTTGTTGGTGGTGGTGGTGGTGGTGGTGGGTTGAGGCGGTGGTGGTGGTAGTGGTGGTGGTGGTGGTAGTGGTGGTAATCGCCGCTGCGTCCCCGCCGTCGCCGGAGCCAGCGCCGGCGCCGCTGGCCGCCGCCAGCGCCGGCGCCGGCGCCAGCGGGATGGGGGGGGGTTTGAACCCCCCCCCTTGGGCTGCCTCCCCGCCGTCGGCGTCCTCCTCCTCCTCCTCTTCCTCCTCCTCCTCCTCCTCCTCCTCCTCCTCCTCCTCCTCCTCCTGCCTCCCCTTGAACCCCGGGTCCTCGTCGCTGCGTCCCCGCCGTCGGCGCTGCTGGCGGCCGCCAGCGCCGGCGCCAGCGCTGGCGCCGAGGGGGAGGGGGGGGTGTTTTGACCCCCCCCCCCCTTGGGAGGTGGGGGGGGGGTCGGGAGGGGGGAGGTTTGGTGGGGAGGGGAGTCTCCCTGGTTTTGATCGACGGCGCCGATTGTTGGGGGGGGGCCCACCCCCCAGTTCGAAACGCGCCGCCGAACGTTCCCAAGGCA